AGTAGTCTCACGATATACAGGGAAGTGTTCGTGCCGAGTCTGCGGAAAGCAGTAAGCACATGTGCAACTTCACTGGATTTTGCCAAACTGCTTTCCAACATGATTTTATTAGACCTATTCACAGGTACAGTATGGTTTTATGACTCTCATGAATGAAAATACTAAGAGTGTCATTTCAATTGTTGCTCGTACATAGATGTTATAGACTTTGGCATTTTAATGTTTTTAGCAAATGTGCTGAGCTCCCATGCTCGTTATAATTATCTATAGATCATCTTAAATTTCCCAATGAATAATCACATTACTTATAAAGAATATCAGTCTGTTTCTTTCCAAACTCCACACTTTTATTTTTTGTTCCTGCCATGTAACCCTTAAAAAAAAAATTACCATTCTAGGTTAAATCAAAACAGTGTTATGACAATAAATATTGTCATACTCTCAATTTTTAGAAGAATACAAAAAGCAAATTAAAAACTTCTCTGATGCTAGAGATGAGCATAGTTACTAACTTTTGCATCAGAATGGGCCAATTGATCGAAAAACGTGTAGTGAGGAGACATTCGACCCTAACAGAAGTATGCTATCTTTTGTTCTTGAACTGTATATTTGAGATATGTGCATTTCAGGATGAGTGTTTTGTGTGTCACAGTGCCTCGGCTTGAGGCCTAGCTCCCCTTCTGTGCCTGACTTGCTAGTTATGTGCACCTTCAGAGGCTGCAGAAGAAGGCGCAGGTACTTGAGTCACTGCAACCCATTGTAAAAATCAAGACTGAGTTCTTGGCTTTGGCCTGACCCAGCCCCAACTGTTGTGGTTGTCTGGGGCATGAACTAGAGATTGAAAGACCTCAGCTACTGTTTCTTCCCTTTCTGTCTCTCTTTCAAAAAAATGAGAAAAACATTTTTTAAAAGATTTGTAGAATTTACTAGTGTTTGTCTATATTTGTCCGACTTCTCGGAGCTCTTTATATATTAGAGGGATTGAGCCTTTTGCGACACGAACTGCAAAAATGTATTTCCCGAATAAAATGTATACTTTTTGAAAATATACATGTTATTTTTATGTAGATATATGATTTCTTTTTATAATTTCTAAGTTTTAATGTGTGGTTAGAATTTCTTTTCCCATTCCAAGATAATAAGCAATTTATTCCATATTTTCTTTAAGATGTTTTAATGGTTTCATTTTGTATATTTCAGTCTTTTATTCATTTGGGATTCGTCTGTGTTTTATTTCCAATAGGGATCCAACTTTCTCCAGATGGTTTTCACGTATTATTTTATTAGTAGAATTTCTAATTTTCACCCTTTATAGTTCTAGCTGAAAGTCTTCTTGGTGAGGATACATTATTATTTTTTTATATTTCAAATATATGTTATTTTAGTATATGTATGAACATACATGTGTTATATGTCTATCTATATGTAAACATACACTTTTATAATGTGCTAATATTTTACCTAAAATTTTTGCATCTGGTTTATAAGTCAGATTGATGTACATTTTCTCACTTTTTTCACTGTTCTGAATTTTCAGTAATGAGGTCAAAATAAACCCATAAAAAGAACTGGGGAACTTTTCCTCGTCTTCAGTTCCCTGAAACAGTTTTTAAGACCATCTGGCTGTGGAGATTTTTGGTGGGGAAATATTTGACTACTGACTAAACTTTCAATCATTATGTGGGCTTTAGCCTTTTTTATAAGAAAGATTTTTAAAATTCTATCTTTTAAGAAAATAACTTATTTTCCCAAGTTTTCCAATCTTGAAACTTAATTCTATCCTTTAGTAACTTAACATGTATTTTTATTGGCATCTTACTTTTTTTTTTTTTTGCCTCATTCATATATACAAACAACCTTAAAGTGTTGCAACTCAACCTTTTTTGAGTGGTAACTTAAATTTCAGAGTTGGGGAGGGGAGAAAGATGTGTAGCAACCTGTGCCATGAAAACCTCTATTGTGCCTCGTTTCTCCCAACTACAAAGCAGGAACAAATATGGTATGTACATCATGGGATGCTACGGGGATCAAAGCAATGAAAAACAAAACAACAACAAACATTTAAACAGAATCTGGCATGTGTGGAGTTGCCAGTCAGTGTTGCTCTTTATTATCTATGTACATTTTCAAAAGAAAAATAAAGTTATAGACGGGGTTGTAGAAATACGCCTAGAGCACTGAATGTTTTTCATGGATTCCTCCTGCTGGGTTCTCAGGTCCTTACCCTGCCTGTTCATCTTGCTGATGTTGAACACACCAGAAGTCTTCCTAAATAAAGGTAGAATTACCAAAAATGCACTAGAGTGTCTTGGACATAGTGACATCCAACATTTCCCAAAGTTCCTGAAAGTTGCATTTCAGCCTCATATAAACAGATTTAACAAAAAAGGCAGGGAAGGATGGATTACAAAATGAGAGAATTGTAGCCATTTTTTGATAGTTGCTTAATGATTTGTTTATTTTGTAAGTGCTTACATGCCTATGAGGTGTAAGCCCTGAAGAGAAAAGTCTTTAATCCATTGTCACTCCTAATAGATGAACAAAGCTTTGCCAAGAAGAGCATAACTGCTGTGTATAACTATACCCAATTTGGTCATTTGGACCTTTTGGAGCTGTGTTGTCAAATATGGTAATAACTGTATTGTATAAATAACAATCATATGTGGTTATTTAAATAAATAAATGTTGAATAGAATTAAAGAGTCAGTTCTGAACACATTTCAAGGACTCGACAGCTTGACTGTTAGCTACAATGTTGGACAACTTGGAACTGACAAAACGTTTCCACCAGCCATTGAAGTTCCGTTGGACAGCTCTGTTTTGGAGGGAGTTTCAACACTAATTAAAATAATAGTTGTTCTTGTGTGGGAACCTCAGGAACAGATCATTTTGTTCTTACCAGGCTGACTGAACGCTTAAGATTATGTTTAGCCTGATGAGAAATCAGTTGCTCTTTTAAGCAGGTTAGACAAATGTTTTGGAAAGTAGTTTTTCATAGCATTACCCTGGAGATTCCAAAATTCAGGAATCCTGAGTTAGTGAAACCCAAACTAGTGCAGTTTACTGCAAACCCAAGACCAGTCTTGAAGGCTACTCTTTGTATCACATTATTCTTGGCTAGAGGTTACCCCTTTCTTACCTCACTCCCACCTTCTGCCACTTAACCTACTCGTTGGTGTAAATAATCACCTATTTCCTGGTCACTATCAGTCCTAAAACATTTGTCCACTTTGGCTACTTTCCTAGAATCCATCATTGGCATTTTCATGGCTTTTGCTCGATGAGTAACATCTTCGGTAGCCCATTCCCAGCAGGATTTACTAGCCAGCCCTGGCGAAAATAGATAACTTATCATGATATTTCCTGTTGTTCTGGAATCAAACATTACATCTATAAATGCTTAATGTGTCACAGATGGGACGATTTTGTTTTTGATGTACTCAGAGAGATTTCCATGATGTGGAGTAATACACATGAATCAGAGAACCAGGGAACCATAGGGCAAGGGTTCCTGGCTCTCAACTATGTTTTTGGGGTGCTGCATTTCAAAGGGGTGACAGCAGCAAGATGGTTAGACTCCTAACAAATGGTTGTTAACTCCCTTTGAGCTGAGAAGGATGGGTGATCATCCTTCAGAAAGTCAAATAGGATGAGGAACAAAAGACCCCATGTCTTACCAAAATATGTGGAGGTTTTCCCTTCCTAAAGTGTAACAACATATTTTCCTGCCCCTGTCTTCCATCTCCTGTCTCTGACTCTCATTACAGGAACACACAAGGCAGTACCTCGGGAAGGTGTTTCAGCTAACTAGAAAGCTGAGCAATGCCAGGAGGAAGCCCGGAGGTAGAAGATCAAGGCAAGGAAAGATCAGAAATCTTTGCCCATCACCAGGAGGTCTGGAATTAAAAGATGCAGAGCTTAGAATATGCGAAGTGGTTTTTTTTTTTCTAAATTTTCAACCCTTCCCAAGTATCTTTCCATGTAGTGTACTTCAATTTAGTCCTTCAAGTCTGTTCATTCCTCCCTCGAAGTTCCTCTGAAATGTGTTCATACTCCCACTCCACCAGCAGTAGCGATGACCACTCCTTTGCTGGTAGATTCCTCTTGATCTGCCTTCCCATAATAACCAAAGAGTAATTCAGAAAAAGAGAAACTTGGAGTGTCTCATTTCCGGCTAAGCGTTTGTGTTTAGGATAAAGGTGAAAATGCTCAGACTAGTCTGAGGGATGTACCTGGTGGGATCCTCCTGCTCGACCCTCTAACCTCGCCTCACCTCATTCCTTCAGCACTGCAATCATGCCCTTTCTCAACCTCTGTGATGTCAAGCTTGTCCTGCCCCAGGCCCTTTGCACATAGAGTAGTCTGTGTTTGACTAACTCTTCCTCCAGTTCCCTGTGGCTTGGTTATGTCGCACTCCTCCTTCATGGGTCATTTTAGTCATTATTCTGCTTTCTCCCAGTAGTGAATTACGTTGAGGTTTCGTATATGTACAGGGGGTGACTACTTGATTAACTCTATTTCCCCTAGGATTTATAAGCTCCAGGGACAATATTTATCTTCTACTTACCACTGTTTCTGGCTCTTGGCCCTACGCTGGCAGTTAATATATGAATGAATCTTTGTCACCAAGTAAAGAGTAACTTTGGTGATCCGGTAGAAGAGAAGTGTGATAAACAAAGAAAATGCACAGACTTACGAACTCTGAATTCAAATCCCAGCCCTGCCATCTTATAATCAGGTCGTTTGGGGCCAAGTGGATTTGCCTCTCTAGGCCTTCATTTTGTCCTCACTGAAATGGGCATAGCCTTCTATTTGCATGAAGCTGTGAAGGTAAGAGATGAGGCATGCAAGCTGGGCATCAGAAGGTTCTCAGTGATCTCAGACATCATCATAGCCATTATCACTACAGTCCAATTTGGACACTGTGGAGTGGCAAGTCCTCTGGTGAGGCCACAGGACTCCTCAGGAAGAAGTGACAGATTACTCACACTCAAAAAAGAAACAGATAGTAACATTTTTTATTAAATATTACAGTGGATCAAAAAGTACAAAATATCTCTTGCCTGCTATGTGATTGGGAAACTATTGGCACGTAATACAGTATCAAAAGCAGTAATAAGTACAATTTGGAAAACATACAAAATTGAGTGTTTATAGTTGGCTCAGCGTTCTTCTGGTAGTGTTTTAACTAATGCAAAGGTTACTCAATAACCTCTCCATTGGGAAACTATATAATATCACTGGGCCATGTTGCTATATACAAAAAAAAATCACCTTACAGAGCATAGAGGTTACATAGCTGGAATCACCAAAAGTATACAATATTTACAACACAGGAAAGTTTAAAAAATTATAAACAGCCAAGAGATTATGCTGCTATTCTTCAGACATATTTCAACCATGGGGAGACAAGCAGAATATCAAATACATCAACAGCCAACACTGGAGTTTAAATGCTCAAGGCAATCATTGCAATGGTGTAGGTCTCACCAGGGCGAAATCACTCCCATTTCTCTTTGAAATTGGGACAAGAGTAAAACCAGACCAGATAGGACTTGGCTGACCACCACCCAATGTGACTCCATGTGACAACAAGTGAAGAGAAATAAATGATTCTCTTTGAAGGCACACTACATAAAATATTTTAGTGGGACCACCTCGATATTTCCATCAGACACACCAACACAGTGAAATACAGTACTTGAGAATTCATGCACCAGGTCAGAAAGTTGTAACGTCAACACTGAGTTTTAACAAACCTTTCTGTGTATGCCCTGATAAACAAGTGAACTTAACAGCATCTAGCTAGTAAATAAATAAGTCAGTCCTGTGGCAAATATTACAAGTTCGAGTCACTAGAATATTTAATTCTGAAACTCAGTTGGGCTTTTTTTTTTTAATGTTGTGTTGCCAAAAGTTAAACCAGAAATTGCATGAAAACGATTTTTTAAAACTATTTTTTAGAATCTCTAAATCTCCAATAAATCATGGTCTTAGTGCATTTTGAATTGCAACATTTCTTGGAAGCCACACTCAGTAAATAGATTTATGACTCCATTGCCAATTAGATTCTACAGTTTCCTTTATAGAACTACCAATAACAATGGTTTGATTGCACAAAGAAAGGCTTGTGCAATTCCATTCAATAATAAGGCCCCTTGAACTCAAACAATGCAAACAAAGCCCTATTTAAGACTTTTTAAAATGTAGTTCTCAGCCAATGAAGAATTCAATGGTCTTTTTGAAAGATTTCCAAGATCTCTGTTCGGAGTTTTAAAACAAGTAACACACTGCTTCTGTCCAGAACGTATACCCATTTCTCTTTATTTGTCCTGATGTTTTGCTGAGGGTATGAGCTTCCTCAGACAGAAACAGTGAGCTTTCTCTCAGAAGAGATGTGAAAAACAAAAGGTGCACTATGTTAACATTGTTTGAAAACGGTGTGATCAAATTCCAACATGGCGAAACAGGCTAAAATCATGGCAGGGAGGAAAACAAACGTGCTGTATTCCAAATGAATAGGTGAACTCCATGGGGGGGACAGATCGTCCCCATTTTCTTTGAGAAACAAACTCAGAGAAACCATGTACCATTCTAGCCCAGGTCTGTTGCAGAAGCATCGGAGTTTCGTTTTATTTATTTATTTATTTTTCTCCACGTCCTCCGGTTCTGTGACCATTCATTCTAGTGCAACTTTCGTGTCTCTGTGTCCTGGCCAGCATTTTGCCCGCTGGAATTGAGATTTCCCCCTCTCCATCTTGTGCAATAGCAGGATAATCTGCACTCACACATTTATAATCTAAATTCTACTGGTCTATCTATGGTTCTATTAAATATATTATTATTATTATTATTATTCCACAGGAAGGTAAATAATTAATTGAAGCAAATGGAACTCTTAACACTGGATCTCTACATTCTTTTTGTTTCCACCTTTGGATATTAAGTATGCTACATGGAATATTTGGCTTCATATCATGGAGACGTTTCAATACAAATGCACGGCATGCATGGCTTTGTGTCAGAGCCGCAGTTTCATTGTTACCAGTTTAGAGTATTTTGCAGTGAGTTACCTACTTAGAAGTTGAACATTGTCATCAATTTCTGTAGAATTAAATATCTCAGAGGTAAAAGACTTGGTTAACTATGGTCCTAAAGCCTACTGGTAGTGTTGGGGTCTGGGGGAAGTGGGCTGAGGAGTTCATCAAAGCAACCTTTAGCAGGGATGGGACTTGGAAACACAATCCACTCTCCGTATTGATCCATTTTTCAGACACCTAGAAAACACATCCGCCTTGATGTTACATTTTGGCAGGAAGTGGAATAGAGTGGCAAGAATGACCACAGATATCCCCCACATCTTCTGGCTGCTTGTACAGCCTGACCATTGATTTCCAATGAGACAAGAAACCATAAAGCAGACTATATTGTCGGGTGATCAACATCATGACACCTGTGATGTATATAGTCACACCAAACCCAGGCCCCATAATCCCTAACAGGATGACTTTTGAAATAGCTCACCCAATGTGTCAATTATCCCCCAAGAAGAGGCCTAGCAGATTCTTCTGGGGAATGACAAGCAATCAAGTAGATAGAGACAATGTGATTGTACATGACTCAACAGCCCAACACCCAGAGAAGCTGTAGGGTTGGGTCTTCAGCTGCTCCTTCTCTGCTGGATAGCCAAGGTGGACCCCTTCCCAGTCCCCTTTCCCAGACCACTGAAAAGGATCAGGGCCAACATCAATGTCAATCAGTTTGGCTCCTGTTGTAATTTCCAAAATTCCTAAGATATCTGTGCAGCCCACAAATATGTCCTCTAGACTCTTATTCAGCAGCTTGCTGCCAGTGAGGTTTTTGTTTTTATGCTTCCTCTGGTATGTAGGGCAGTTTCACAGCCTAGATAAGGTAAGTACAATGCTCGATATTTTCACATAACCCAATACTTCAAAGCAAAGCATTTGGCCGGATAAGCAGTGCATAAGCTCTTTCAACTATGCCGTTTATGAGGAACAAAATCAGTAAGTTGCGGATCTGCAAAGGAACGTTCTTTGCACGACTGTGTGCTCAACTGCTTCTCTTCCATTTGTTCCATTAGAATCAGTTGCTTCAATTTGTAAACAATAACTTGACCACCCAAAGCTGCTCAAAATGATAAGATGTGGAAAAATGACAAACACACATCAACACCGAGGACAGTCAGCTTTTAAAATAAAAAACAAAACAAAACAAAAAAAGACCTGCCAACAAAAGCGATACTGTTTAATTAAAATATATATATATATATATATATATATTAAAAAAAAAAGGGACAAGAAGGAACCAGGAGAAAATGGAACCACCTGTATATAAATTAGGTGAGCAAACAGTGATCCGGGTAGTTTTCAGAAGCAAATATATACAGTCAATTTAACAGTGTTTACTTCTCTGGATTGTTGAATAGTGTCAAAATGAAAGGTCTACCGAAGTTTCACTATACATTGCATTGATTGAACCTCAGAGAGGTTTGTGATAAGAGGGGCATCCCTTGGCATGGGTTGACCAGCTTCCTCGCCCCTTCCTTTGAAAAGCCTGCCCCCATCTTTTTTTTTTTTTTTCCCAGATTGTTTCCCTGACCAAACTCAGATAGGGTCCTCGAAGTTCTTCCTGGATATACATACGCTCTTTCCAAAGACCCACATGTAAAATGAAAGATCCACAGGTGCCAGAGCATCCGTGTAGCCAGGGCAGTCAAGGCCGACCAGCCAAGGCAGGAGCTGTCCCAGAAAAATCAGGCATGTTCATCTCACATCTTGGCCTCTGCCATTGGGATGAATCGTACCCCCAGATTAGAAGAAATACTGGCTTCTAACTGTCTAAGCCGCCACCCCAGGGCGAGGGGTGAAGCTCTGGCCGCCACGCCGTTCCGGGACGCTGAGCAGAGTCGGGCCTACAGTTTAGTACTGGGGTGTATGGACGACAGCTGGGAAGATGGGAAGGCAGCTTGAGGATTGATAGCAGCTAAAGGGTAAATGCTGTTGTGCAAAAGGTCCCCGTACGAACTTCCTACCGGCGTGGCCGCAGCCAAGTGTCTGTAGAGCTGCTGAGAATTTGTGGGCGATGTAAAAATTCCTCTTTGCATCACAAGCGAGTGGAAAGCCAGGGGTTGCATGAGTGGAGAAAGCACAGTCTGGTTTTTCAAGTACTGCAGAGAATGAGAATACCCAGCTGGGAGCCTGGAGTTGAGGCCCGAGTTACACAGGCTCCCAGAATACAAACCCGGGAAGATGGGGGAGGAGAGGGGCAGCTTGTGGCCCTCCGCCCCGCCTCCGGCGTGCCCACTGTATGCTGCCTTGCTGCCTTCGCTCTCCTGCTCGGAGGCCTTTTCCTTCCCGGAGACCTCCTTGGATGGGTCCAGGGGAGACACTGCCCTGGCCTTTTTCCCGGCAATCACCAAGTCCAAATCCTCCAGGCTGCGCTTGATGGGCCGCGCAGCCCCGATGTTCTGAGGGCTCATTTTGCGTTGCAGGATAGGATGAACCATGCCTTCCATCTTGCGGAAATTCTCCAATCTCACATGGTGTGGTTTTCCCGATCGCGAAAGTGACTCGGGGTATTTTTTAGGAACCGACATGGTCATAGGTGATACCCGACACGCTTTGGGGTGACAGTCTCGACTCTGGCTGCTTAGGACCTGGAACTGGGGAGCGCCTTTGCTCTCCTGGGGCCCCGGGGTTGAGTGGGCCAGGCCTAGGACCTTGCCGGTTGGTTTGTGCGGATTCTTGGGAAGGCTCAGATCTGTGGGCTGATCATCCGTAGCGGCATCAGCCGCCGCCAACTTCTTGTCTTGCAGGTGAAGAGAGGCAAGATAGTTGACGTGCAGCTTCTCTTGGTGTTTGTGGGAGGGGTAAGAATTGTTTTCTGATTCTCTGTACATGTCCCGGGAGGGGTACTTGGATGCCTGTTCGTTGTGAAGGTGGTGCTCAGTGTGTCTGTAGAGGCTGTGGAGATGGGGGGACGAGTAGAAATCTGCCAAGAAGCTGGGCATGTGGGAATGGGGGAGTGCCCGTTTCTCTAAGAGTTTATCCTTGCCTTCTTGCATTTCTTGCTTCAGGATATAGGAATCCGTCAGGGAGTTAAGGTGATGCTTGGAGAAGCTGCAGCGGTGGGCATCAGATCGACTCAGCTTGTCATGCTTGAAAATGTCATTGATGCTCTTCCGCTCCTCTGAGGGCTTGCTCTTGAAGCTTTGGACATGCTGTATCACTGATGGCCGGCTGACGGCTATGTGGTCAGTGCTTGGGCTGTGGTGGGTCTGCGACAAGCCAGAACACAAGTCGTCACGCGCCATTAGTTTCTTTTTGCTGATCAAAGGGGGTGGTGAGCCGTAGGGGTAGCTGCTCGAGAGGCCGGCTCCACTCACTTGGGACAGAAGCTTCTTCTTGGCCAGGGGGGACATGATGCCCGGGTTGCCCCTGGAGTAGAGCAAGGGGGTGTAGTTCAGGCCGTGGTTTTCATTCAGCGGCCCCGTCAAGTCTTTGTCCTTGAACATGTCGAACGACTGAACGACGAGGACTTTTGGGGTCTGCTTGAGCGCGGTGTGGATGTCGTCGCTGCCCAGCTGGTCCACTTTGACAGTGCAGTTGGCGATGTAATCCGCCATGGCAGGGAGTTTGTCCTCTTCCACCTCATTCTGGCTGGCCGGCGGTGGCTGAGTCGGAGGGAAGGTGGGAAAGGCAGCCTCTTGGACGTCCCTCTCGGGGCTCTCTGCAAAGCAGCAGGGTTTGGATTCCTGCTTGGAGTCTACCAGTGCGCTGGGTGGAGTGAGGGACTGTTTGGCAGCCCCGAGCTTCGGGGTTGGGTCCCTCTCAGGCGCCAGCGGAGCATCCGGGAGCGGAGGTACAGGCTTCTCCTCTGTCGACTCCTCAGCCTCCTTCTCGCTCTTGGAGCCCTGGTCTGGGTCACAGCCCTTTTCCAGGTCTGCTCGGGACCCCAGAGGCCTCGTGGCAGCCTCCGGATGCCCTTCCGCTTTTTTCTTTACGTCTGTGGCTTGGAGAGGCTCTGTGGCATTTTTCTGGTTTAAAGTCTCCTGCTCTTTCTCTTGCTCCGATGAAACCTGCTAAAACATTGCAAGGTAGTCAGAGGGAAAAGAAACTCACTGACATGTTTCACTATGAAATAAAATATTACACACAGCAGTTTTTCTTCAAAACAGGCTTGTCAGTCAGCTCATGGAGCCTTTGTAAAGCTTTATTACTCCCCAATCACAGCTCTAAACAAAGAGATCTAAATTACAGAAACATTAGGGGAAGTATGCATATTCGCTTCAGTCCCTTATGAGACACTGATCAAAATAGCAAAGTGTTATGTACTGATGGTGCACCATCAGATCACTCCTTGATTCTAATATATAGTTTAATTCTAAGGTTGTCGTCTTGTCAAATCAGTCAATTATCCAAATGGGTTTTAAATTACATGTTGTGTTTTATGACACTCCAGAGGAAGATTTTTTTTAAAGCATCTCTCTTTTCAAAAACCCCAACCAACTCATGCTCACTGCAAACAACAAGCTGACAGTGACACCTTGCCTTTCTCTGAGGACAAATCCCTCCCTTAGATGTTCAGTGGGATGCATTAAAAATTAGTGATGCTTCAGTAGACATCATCTCTGCTCTGTATCACATGATGTGCAGAGAATGCCAAAATATTGGCAAGGTATAGGAGGCCTCAGAAGCTTGTCTATCTGAGAGAGACGGTAGACTCTTGTCCTTCGAAGCTTCAGCAAATGACATTTCTATTTCAGTCAAAAATGCAGCTGTCAAAATTCGGGTGGTCGGTATCACCATTATAGAACATTTCTGTTCGTGCACATAAATTATAGTCAATGAGATGGACACCATTTATGTCCTTACTGGCAGGAGCTGTGGGCACAATCTGACCCATTTGTTGTATTACGTGGCCATGTAAGTTTAATCTTAAAGGTCACTTTAACTTTCCATTTGTGACTCAGTTGGCTGACAAGACCTACAAGAATTGCTGTGATTGTGCCCTGACACGTATTGGGGGAACAGTAACAAACACTTTCTACCTGGTTCCTTATCCCTGACTTCCAATCTCATCCCTTAAACTTTGTTCTTCTCTGTTTAAGAAAAGTCAACCTCTGTAACATCTTTGAGTAAGACTATGAACACTGCTTGGAGGATGCATGAAACAAACAAAAAAAAATGTTAAGGAATCGCATGTTTTTCATAGATATTGAAAACATTAGAAGTTAAGAAGAGTCAAAATAATAATGCTGATAATAAGCTCCAAGCATAGTCAATGAGAACTATACTTGGTCCATGGGTGGTCTGGGGAGGATGGAAGGCAACTTGAACTGTAAATTCAACTTTGGAAGGATGAGTGGGTCCATGTAGCTTAGAGAAACTCATCACTCTGCCCTCTGTAACTTGAGCCCCAGATCTCTGAAGGGAATGGTTGGAGGTCTATCGCATACAGGCAATATACCAGCTTCCCAGACTTTTTCTTTGGAATGGTCATATCCCAAGCTAATGATATCAGTACACAGGATGATGATGCCTCCTACAATTTGGTGGTTTCAAATTTCATCACTAAAACATAGCAATTCAGAACTCAGTTGGTCCCTTGGTCAAACTCAGCTCATCTCCTGGTGCTTTGGCAATGCTGTACATATGGTATCTCATAGAACTCACTGATCCAAAACCTGATAATAAATCACCAGGCCACCAGGCTGACAGGATCAAGGAAGAATGGAATGTGAGTCTTTACTTGGAATTTCCTCGCTTTCGGCCATTCATGTTGCAAGCATGCAGATGTTTGGGAATCTGTGTCATCTTTTTCCCCTTCCCTTCTTAGTTTCTAGAGCCTAAAATAATTATGAAATTTTAAAATAAAAAAAATTTCTCCTCTAAGTACATTAACATCTTATATAGGAGTCGGGTATTTTAATGACTAGTTAGGTGTGTGTATGTGTGTTTTAAGTCGATGTTTAATTAGAGAGTCTCTTATGTGTTCATTATAGACCTGCTTTTTTAGAGGATGTTTAATATCTGGGGTTGAATTCTAAAACACACCGTCTCCAAATGTGGCCACTAAGATTTTTTATGAGTAACAAGGCTTTTTTTTTGTGTGTGTGATTCATGTTGAAACAGAGCCCAGATCAGCCACCGTGACTGGCTATGCAGATGGGAATGATATCTACCAATGGTCTGCTGGAGACTGTGGGTAGTTTGAGCTTTTTAAAATTTTCAGAAACTACCTGTTACTAGAAGAGACAATAATGGTTTCACAGGAACCATTTCCAAATTCCCCATAAAGAATATGTACTTAAATATTTCTCAATTGCTCTCAACCCAAGGCTGTTGTACAGAGGTCAGTTATGGGAGCGACACACTGCTCTCAAGTTTCTGGGATAGTCCAGCAGAGACCCAGCATGGATTTCAACTGCCCAGACCAGTCCCTTGACCCCGCCCCAAGCATGTTTTCAAGTTAGAGCCACTGCTCAGATAGACAGGCTGTGAAATGGCTGCAAGTGAAAAGCCTTCTGGAATCTTCAGGTCTGAACACTTGCTGCCAGTTTTCTACAGAATGAGCAAGTCTTCCTAGAGTGTTTTCTTGACCAATCCTGTTCTACACTAGTATTGCGCTTCCCTCGTGAGCAAACAGAAGGGTTTTCAGGAGCTGGGGATATATGAAGCCCAGATTTTTTTTATTTTTATAGGCTAGGGAAGAATGGTTCAGGGTCACAGCCATGGCTCCAAGTGGTAGATGACCTGGTGGCAGAACTTGTCTCACAATGGTGTTTCTGCAAAGGGTGAAGGGTGGCAACTCACCTCGGACACATCCTGGGGCTTTGGGGCATTCTCTTTTTCTTTCTTGCTCTTAGGCATTTCATGCTTGATGCGTTTGGCTCCTGAAACTTTTGTTTTATTCTCATTTTCCTGTGAACTGTTCTCCTGTTTCCGAGGTTTAATTGGAGGCAGGGGCTTATCTTCCTCTCCCTTAATAAACCTTTCATATGGTAGGATTAATCTAAAAGAGATGGAAGAAAAGATGGCCAGTCATTAGGTGATTCCAGCAGCAGCAATACTGTAAGCATTTACTTTGCTCAATGCATCAGTGCCCCCTCACCTGAGGGGGATGTATTCAGAGATCCCCAGAGAAAGGCTGAAACCATGGATAGTGCCAAACCCTTTACATAGTAGTGTGTATGTGTGTGTGTATGGTATATAAATATATATTTCCATGCTAAAGTTTAACTTATACATTGGACACAATAAGAGAAATAAGAATGATAAAATACGAGAATACAATGATATTCTGTAATCCAAAATCATTTGACTGTGGTCTGTCTGTCTTTAAAGAGCAAAAATACTAGTATTTTTGGGCTGCAGTTGACCACGGGTAACTGAAACCACAGAAAGTGACACTATAGATGAAGGAGGACTGCTGCGAAAGCAACTGTTGGATGGTTTCATTTCCAGTGACTCAAATGTGTTTCTAGATACTTCACAGCTTAGTGATCTGTAGCCTAGGTCAAAATCAGTACCTGGTACCCCCAATGCTTCTGTAATTTCAATACTTTTCCTGCAATACAGTCATTTCTGTGGTTACATCTGCCATGACTATCAATGGAAATATCCAACATTGATTATTGCATCATGCCCATGCAACTTGGCTAATTGCTTCTATCACAACAACGACAGCTGTTGCGCATTTACCATTCTATCCACAGTTATTTTCTCAGCATCTATTATGAGCCAGCCAGTGTTCCAAGTCTTGAGCTACAGCAGTGAACAAAGCATTCAGAACCCTTGATCTCACAGTGCTTAGATTCTGGTTAGTGTCAGAACATTCTAAGTACATAGATTATTTCAGATAGCTTCCACAACATCTCCATGAAGTATTATTATTATCCCCATTATGCAGTTGAAGCAACTCGGAGTCCCAGCACACGGGAGGAACAGAATCTGAACCTAGTTCTGCTCATCTCCAAAGTCTATATTTGTATTCATGTCAAAACATAGACAAAACATAGAGCAGGCACGCGATACAAAGGAGTCAATGGGAGTTAAGCCCAGCTTGGCTGGAGAGGGTTGGCTGTGCTCCCCAGCATCTTGAGGGGGACTTGAAGAGGAGGAGCTCTGCCCCGCGGGGGCAAGTAAAGGATGGTCCAAGAAGAGGCATACAGACCATATAAGCCACAAAAACCACAGGGCTGAAAATTTCAAGCAAATTTTAATTATATAACTTTTTCACAACAAAGTACATAAAATTGCTCTAAAAAGAGAAACATCAAACAACTCCAGTTTTAATCTGTTTTCCCTTTGTGTTGTAGCTCCTGATCTAAAAGGGAAAAATAGCTGATGTAATTAAAAGGCATGGATTGCATTACAATCTCAGTTTCAACTTCAGTGATTAAAGTTTTTATAATGCGTTTGGTATGATTAATGACTCACTGTGGGATTAATACAAGACTCAGACTTAAAAATATGAACTTTAATACAGCAAACATAATTTGTTTTAAATAAGACAAGTTGACTCAATGAAGAAAATGTACTTGGCTTACACGCAACAAAAATCTGTTCAAATATTGAGAATCCTAATTATTTTTAAATGAAGACTCCCAGGAAAAATATCTCTGGTTCAGATAATTTGTTGGTGATCCTAAAATTGGTTTCTAACTATGCAATTTGTATCTTAACTACTAAGACACATACACATGTTCAGATTTGAGAGTATGAACGGGGGGACATTGGTGATAGTAATATTTCACTCTTGAATAAAATGCCAAATAAGTTATGGGAAAATCAAACCCCAATTTATAGCATATTAGAAGCAAAATTTATTTACTGAGCATGCTCAGACAAGGTATGTGCAGAAGGCATGAATAATATTTTTGAGCCCCACAGCTGGCAGTGAGCCAGCCACAAAGATCAACACAGCCCATGGGGAATGGTTATCTTCAGATCCCATTACAAACTGAGTTTAAACATGTTACAGCTGCTAAAACTGGAAACTGCTCTCTCTATGTAGACTTACTAAAATAATAGACGGCTGCCAAATACCTGCTTCCCACTGTAATGTTACAGTTAATGTTTATATAATAAAAGCATAAGTAAGCAGAAGAAGAGAGGGAAAAAGCAATCTTGTTCATACTTGTATTTATTCTGTCTCATCTGTAAAGTCCCCAACAGCACCCCCAGTTCCTTTCATCTGGGTGGTATGGCCAAGGACTTGAACCCCCTTCTCCATCAGCAGGTTGGGGAATTTCATCTGGGAGCAAAATGCATGGCAGGACTATTGTGAACTGGAAACATTTTGTATGTTGGCTTTAATGAAAACATAATTTGTTGTTGGGACAGTTTTGTTTTACTTTTGTTTAGTTGCCATGGGAACCCTAAGAGCGTTGAAAACTGGGTATAATATTCCAATGGGTATGGTTTGTTGGTGCCACCCTCACCCAACTCTGTTCTCTGACTGTGAAGGGAATCCATGAAGGACACTCTCGCCTGAGAAGAATGACAACTTTATCTCAGACTGTGTGGAGGGTGTGGAAAGATGGCCAACGACTGCAGAGTCCCCTGGCAACCAGCTTCAAGAGACCCTTGTCTCACTAAGGTCTAACAAGTCTTAGGCTAACTAACCCAGCCCTCTTGATAGGTGCTAAGCAGTCTTTAATTTTCTTTTACAATTTTGCAAATTCACAGGCAGACCAACATTTTCATTTTGGTCCTTTTTTTTTTTTCTTTCATTTTTTTCCCTTTCCCTCCCTTTCACTCAACTCAGCAGCTGGCTGGCCGACAACAGCAAAAAATACATTTCACTTTACTGGTCAAAGGCCTAAAGCCAGAAGCAGGAAATCTGGAATTAAATGTTTCTTGTATCTGGAAAGAGGCATGACTAAGGTAAAACTGAATCCAAACACAAGCAGTACTTGTTCAAGGCTTCCAGAGGGAGCATGTGTGTGTGTGTGTGCGTGTGTGTGTAAAGGTCAATTCATGTTTTTTTTCCCCCTTCTAAATCTCTGAAAGATAATTATAGTGGCTTGGGGAAAAAGAAACTGCCAAAATAAAACAAGAAAGGCAGCAGTTAAAAGGAAGCAAGCAGAAATATGACCAGCTAAGCTCTGAAGAACAAGCACAGCCCTGCATGGCACACGAACAATCGCTGTTTCATAGAGAGATTTCCGTTTGCTGGGATTTTCACTGAGTGTTTTTTCAGTTATCCTGTCATGGTACAACACAATTACCCCACAGGATATGATCTTATCATCTGATTATTAGAAGTTTGTACAGTACAAGAGGACGAAAGCTATTAAGGGGTTTCTGAACATTGAAACATTCAATGTACATGAGGTCCCATTAAAAACAGGTTAGCCAATCTAAGGTCAACATTGCCCAATGCAGGAAGCTGCGTAGGTTAGCATTTCATAAAGAATTCTGTATAATGCAACATGCCTGTGCCTTGTGGATGATTAGCCCACAAATATTTGTAGTATGGCAAAGATTTAATCAGTTTCTAAACTATAAGGGATAAAAGCAAAAATGTACCCCAGCCCCCAAGAACTCATTACACTGGAGAAATGTTTTCAATGGACTGCAACTCTAAGAATGTAGACTGGGTTTAGGTGGGTGGAAGTAATCGGGGAGAGAAGCAACATATTCATTAGAAAATCCTGGGAGATTTTTATTCTCCTTCCTGATCTACATCTAGTTTGGGATGGAAAGCTGGGCAGATAAATGAGTCTTTATTATTATCAAGATTTCACATTTCAGATTAGCAAAATGCTTATTTATGATGCCATTAATGGATCAGAAATAGGTAAGCCATCATGTATTAAAAAATAACATCCTTCCATAGGCATAAGATTTGTAGCAGCATGAGATTTTATTTTTCCCTAGGAATAATACAAGAATAACATTTTCCACCCCAAAGCAGAAACAGTAGGGGAGCCGTTTGCTATCACGGAGATTCTTATTAAATTCAGTCACTGTGAAAAGCAGGATTTTTCCCCCCCTCATTCTTCTTCTTTTTTTTTCCTCCTCTTAAAAATAAAGATGACTTAAAATCAACCCAAGTTAAAATTAACAAATCAATGGCATTATAACCTTGATTTATTAGTGCCTGAGCCAGTAAATTATCATCATGCAAGAAATTGCTGGTTTGAAAAGATTTCGGCTTTGCTAAATCTCAAGTTAAATAATGGTGCTCGGTATACTAGGTTTTTAGATCTGCCTCATCCGATATTATGAAAAATTCAATACATTTCTCCACAGCAGAAGTCAGGGGGTCAGCAAATCTATTACTGTAATGTAAGTAATCTGGCAACCTGCCAACTCTTTCTCCCTTTTATTATTTTTTTTTAAACGCCGAGGAAGATAATTTTATATTTACAAAGTCTAAAATCCTCCAGGGCGTTGCTTCTCTTTCTCAACAAAAGGCAGCAGCCTCACATTAGAGAAATGTATATCGCACATGTCCTCATGATTTGCATCTCATACAAAGGAAGAAAAGACCCTTCCTTTTTATTAGGCAACAGTCTCTTCCCCTCCCCACAAGCAGAGGAAAAATAACGTCAAATCTCATCTGAACGAGTAACCACTGATGTCTGCTGTATTGATTAATGCTTGCATGAAATGACTGAACTTTTGGGCCAAAACATTTAGCAAACAGTACTTAAGAGGAGGAATGAGAATCCATCTATGTATAGAGCCCTGAAAAATGATATTATAATAATGTCTGGAACTGATTCAAACCAGAGAGTAAGGGAGAGCAGTAAGAAAGCTTTAAGGTTCTTTTTGAATCTCAGACATGCTCCAACTACTTCATAGGCCCTTTCATGGCATAAAACCATTTAAAAAAAAAAACAGGCCTAAAGATTTGCTGGTATCCTTGGAACAGAATATTTTAGGAGCAGAGGGACATAAGATTGATATCCATGTGAGGCCAAAATGTGACTAGTTGTCTTATGCTAGGTTTTTTTTTTTTTTTTGTCGTCGCAGTAGAAAAGAAGCAACATATTGGTTCCA